AAAAAAAATAGCAGTCATAAGAAAATATCAATATTAAAACAACAGATATATATGTTTTCCCAAATCTTCATCTTTGGAAAACCTCATATGTACTATTTGATGGAAATATAAACAAACCCAAAAACAATGTTTCATAGGCAGTTGGTCTCTGTATATGTAGTTCCAGTAGAGTCAAGTAAGTTGAGTTTTGCTGTACCAATTATCTCCTCAAACATCAAAGCTAACATCAATATTAAAGTACTTCTGATATTGTAGTTTTGATACAATGTGTCAAACCTCAGGTTACAAGAGTCTGACTGACCAGGACTGTGTATCTGAAGCACGGTAGTGTGACACCAATTTTGGCTTTACATGGGGTCCATGTTGTCATGTGAGCATTATTATTCCATCTCTTCATGACTGCATTTAATTTTCGTTCAAATTTTCTGTCTTTGGTTATTTCATGGTACATTGTCAGACTGAGATTATCATTTCTTATCTTCTCAGTGTTGATATTATTTGTAGATTGTCATACATTTTGCTACAAAGGTAAAACAATTGACAGTAAGAAATTTGAAAAGTGAAGTTTTAATACATGTTTATGTAAAGTGTATATTTAAGAGTTTTCTGTTCCGTATTATACAGGATTTAATAGATGTTTGGATAATTGGATCACAGGGCAGAAAATAAGATATTTACAAATAGAATAATGGTATAGATATGATTTTGGACACTAATAATAAAATCATTAAAAACTAAACATTTATTTTTAAATAACTGTGAGATCATGTAATGTAATGCTGGGTCTAGAATAGTTATCTTCGTCACTGGGAGAAACACACAATGATTGTAACACAGAACAGAGGAGATGTTTTTAAGATCAGCATGTTTCCATTTTTAGTTAAAACACTCATTATTTTCTATCCCTTGCTGTGATTCAATTTCTGTCTGTTGCATTGTTGACTTTTTGTCTGTTTAATGCAAATGGCTTTAAATGTATACACTGTATTATATTTATATACAAAGCATGCTTTATTTAAGATAAGACTGCATTTTTTTTACTTTGGGTTTAGGGGGGAAGGTAATTAACTATGATATGTAGTTAAAATCTGCCAGAGACATCAATGGTGTCAGGAGAAGATTCTCCTCCTTTAGTATTACATAATAATGAAAACCACTGTAGAAAAGCTGTTATCCCCCGCTTTCACTGAAACGGGGGATATTAATTTGCATTTGTCTGTATGTCTGTCTGTCCTACACTCTGACACGCTTCGTTTCCGTGCAATAACTACAACAAATGTTCTTCAAACTTGGTCACAGGGTTACATGCCTTAAGGGCTCGGCCAAGTTCGATGACCACTTTCAGCGGACCCCATCTGATGGAGTTATGGCCCCTTGAATAACGAAAAACGTCATTATCTGCCGCACTTCCTTTCTGTGCAATAACTGCAACAAATGTTCACCGATTTCCTTCAAACTTGGTCACAGGTTTAAATGCTGTAAGGGCTCGGCCAAGTTCGATGACCACTTTCAGGGGACCCCATTTGGCAGAGTTAATGGTGCCTTGAATAACGAAAAACATCATTATCTGCTGCTTTTCGTTTCCATGCAATTACTACAGCAAATGTTAACCAATTTTCTTCAAACTTGGTCACAGGGTTAAATGCCTTAATGGCACGGCCAAGTTCGATGACCACTTTCAGCGAACTTTATTTGGTGGAATAATGGCCCCTAGAATAACGAAAAACGTCATCTGCTGCGTTTCGTTTCTGTGCAATTACTACAACAAATGTTAACCAATTTTGCCTTAAGGGCTTGGCCAAGTTCGATGACCATTTGGCGGAGTTATAACCCCTTGAATAACGAAAATGTTTTAAACTTCTGTTGCTTTTTATGACTGAATTACCTTATAACCTTAAGTGTCTCTCCAGAAATGCTACTTTTAATTTTGACTTTTTTTCACTTGGTTTTCTCTCAAATTTTCTTTGCATTTTCTGTGATTTGTTGTCTCTTTTTCTACTATTTTTTCTCATCACTTTATATCATCTTCATCATCATCACCGCTGTCATCTACTGTCCTTTTGTCCTGTACGATGTGTCATTTGTGTATTTATGCAGGTGTAGAGGAATGTTAGCCAGCCATACTCAGCCGTAACTAGTTTATCTACATGAGTAGTTTTAGTACATGTACATGTCGTACCTACTAGGGTGGTGCATTGGCCTACAGTTATCAATACAGTACACCACTTTGGTTTGCAATTTCAATAATTTTGTTTTCTTTTTTCTCCATGGACTGCTTGCTCACTTATATTTCAGATAAATTAGAATCTTTGATGCCTATATCATGTGAAATATAGAATTAAAATGTATCCCATATTTAATTGACAATCATTGGTGTGACTATGCTGAGGTATACACTGTAAAAATGTATCCCATATTTAATTGACAATCATTGGTGTGAGTATGCTGATGTATACACTGTAAATGTAATGATGTATACATTATTTATCACGATTATCATGTACACACTGTAATTACAATAAGTATTAACATGTCGAACTACATGTTAATACATTTAAGTGATAATACATGTCTTGTTGTTTTGTTGACTTTATTTCAAATGTAGTTTAGTTGCTAAGATCATCTACATCATCTGTCTCCCCGATCATGGTTTTCTATGTTTAGCAGCAGTGTGTGTAGTAGCAGCAAACTGTCTTTTTGATTTAAAAAATAAATAAAAAGGCTTAAATTATATCATGCATATTTTGTGAATTTGAATTTGTAAATTGAGATTATTATTTCATCATTTGAGTTACTCATTTGAGTTAATATTTACTGTCTTCCCCATAATGTTACTACTTCCTTATTTGGTTGGTCAATAAAACAAATAACCATTATGATATTGAACAGTTTTATTCAAAAATTGTACGTTATGCAGAATTTAAAAAACCAGTGGAATAAAAAACACTAATCTGAGAAATAAAATACTTCTTATAAAATACTACAACTTAATGAAATATATTTATCATATAGCCACCCACCTTACTAATGAGATACATTTAACAACCCACCCACCCAAAACATATGTAACATTATGCATGCAAGGGTACATTGTTAAATGTGAACACAAGGTTTTGTCTATATGAACATCAATATCATATTAAACGTATATTAGATTTGGTTGGCTTGGTAACAGTATGGTATATGCAGTTACACAGTAGATACCGAGCTGTCATTAAATATATAGCATGATGCTACATGGTACAGGCTCCTAATAACAGTGCTGCAACACTTCAACGTCACGATTTCCTTACAGGATGTGTACTTCTTTATCTTAGTACAGGTAGACTGCATGTAAGACTAGGAATAGTACCAGATATTTTACCATAGCTAGGCACTTATAAGAGTCTTTGCTTTAGTTTTTAATTTATTTCTGAAACATTGATGATTTAATCATATTACGACAAGCTTGTTGTTATTATCCAGATGAATTTTACATAGGGACATTGATGACTAGTCACATTTAATTTTAAAATGATGATAATTGAGAAAGACTGCCTCTTTATGTTTTCCAACATTTCTTGTTATTTGTTGGAAAGATTATCTCTGTTATAAACTGATATATGTACACTTTTAAATGGGCCATTGGTGAGAAAGTGTTTTTTCTTTCAGTTGACTACAATAGTGCAGCTTCATGAAACACCTGCCTTGATTTAAATGTTTTTCTATTTTATTTGAAACTTTGAGAAAATATTCTCACATGACATAACAGTAGTTGTATGTAAACGATGTACTGGAAACAACATGTTGATTGACCTAGACGACTGCTTTGATGGTAAAATCATTTATTGATGTAGAAAACATGTGATGATACATGCATCATACCATGCAGAAATAGTCTTTTTTTTTTAAAGAATATCTTTATGTTGTCAAGATTTTGTAAACATGTATATAAAGTTTTCTAGATGTACACATGCATGTATATGTATTTTGTATGTACATCTGTCTAGATAACTTTACATGCATATTTACATCAAAATAAATTGCCTTTGTCTTGAAAAAAAAATAAAAAAAATACTCCTCTAAACCTTTAAGGGAAATCAAGACTGGTAATATATTGTACGTAACCAAATTGATATGTGTTTCATTTCACTCCATATACACATACGGTATTGGTAATTAGCAATGATGAAACTGATAATATCACCATAACAAATTTTAAAACATCAGGAAATTAATACCCCCATTCCTAAACCTCCATAATGCACTACCTGATGGTCTGAGAACGAGAACTTCAAAACCTGTGTTATAGAACAGCAGAGGGAAATATTAACAAACAGTTCTTGTATATGACGACCCTGTCGGTCGTACAGATGATGATGCTGACTCGGTTGATGTGCCGGAGCACTCACCAAGCCACAAGATGCCACATGTTGAAATGGTGCCACCCTCCAAAACTCTAGAGGATGAAAAGAAGGAGGAAAAACCATGTAAGTTGTGGACAAGAAGTAACAAAACAATCTCCACTTACCTACTTACCCGGTAGAATGACTTTTAATGTGGTTGGCTTTATAGTGCCAGTCAAAAATGAGGTTTTTAATACATGTACTTACTGACTTTCAAGATAAATAATTAATTGATCAACGTTGAAATGTGTTATGTCATTAACTTCGCAAGAACCTACAATGCTTCTCTCCTTTATCAGTTATTACAGTGTAACCTTTAAACATATTACAAGTTGTGTGTTAAAAGAATTGGCCAAAGTATTTTTTTTTAGGAAAAATAGAGTATCTAGATATATATGTATATAACAGTTGAATGATAGAGTGATATTTTGTATATACCCAGTGCCGGAGTTAAGTGAAGAGGAGAAAAAACAAGCGATTATGTCAGAAGATTTTCAAACATTTTTCGATCACACATCACGCCTCATTGAGCGTGCCCTGTGTGAAAGTGTTGACATCTTCACGGACTACACTGGAGGAGATGGGGAGGGCAAGGATGAGTAAGTAGGATGTTAATTAATATGTACTACACTGGAGGAGATGGGGAGGGCAAGGATGAGTAAGTAGGATGTTAGTTAATATGTACTACACTGGAGGAGATGGGGAGGGCATGGATGAGTAAGTAGGATGTTAATTAATATGTACTACACTGAAGGAGATGGGGAGGGCAAGGATGAGTAAGTAGGATGTTAGTTAATATGTACTACACTGGAGGAGATGGGGAGGTCAAGGATGAGTAAGTAGGATGTTAGTTAATATGTACTACACTGCAGGAGATGGGGAGGGCAAGGATGAGTAAGTAGGATGTTAATTAATATTTACTACACTGGAGGAGTATGGGAGGGCAAGGATGAGTAAGTAGGATGTTAATTAATATGTACTACACTGGAGGAGATGGGGAGGGCAAGGATGAGTAAGTAGGATGTTAGTTAATATGTACTACACTGGAGGAGATGGGGAGGGCAAGGATGAGTAAGTAGGATGTTTGGTAATATGTACTACACTGGAGGAGATGGGGAGGGCAAGGATGAGTAAATAGGATGTTAGCTAATATGTACTACACTGGAGGAGATGGGGAGGGCAAAGATGAGTAAGTAGGATTTTAGTTATTATTACCTTACCATTTTATTATGTCATTGAAACCAACACAAAATTAGCTGTTATTTTCGATACAAAATTTTATAAAGTTTTGTGGTACCAGAAGTAAAATGGTCTCTACAATGTCGGGCAAAACAGAATAAAGGCATATTAGAAAATCTTAACTATATAGCTAACATAAGGAACTTTTTGCAATAGATGTGTAAGGAAATCTTTACATGCATGTAGCTGACATAGGAAAATCTGTACAATAATGTAAGGAATTGTTTACAATAAAGGCATAGTAGGAAATCTTTACATAGCTGACATAAGATAATCTTTACAATGGCAAGAACATGAAAATCTTAACAAGGCATAAGGAAATAACAATAGAGGCATAAGGAAATCATTACATAGCTGACATAAGGTAATCATTACATGGCTGACATAAGGTAATCATTACATGGCTGACATAAGGTAATCATTACATGGCTGACCTAAGGTAATCATTACATAGCTGACATGAGGTAATCATTACATGGCTGACATAAGGAAATCATTACATAGCTGACATAAGGTAATCATTACATAGCTGACATAAGGTAATCATTACATAGCTGACATAAGGTAATCATTACATGGCTGACATAAGGAAATCATTACATAGCTGACATAAGGTAATCATTACATAGCTGACATAAGGTAATCATTACATAGCTGACATAAGGTAATCATTACATGGCTGACATAAGGTAATCATTACATGGCTGACATAAGGTAATCATACATGGCTGACATAAGGAAATCATTACATAGCTGACATAAGGAAATCTTTACATAGCTGACATAAGGAAATCATTACATGGCTGACATAAGGAAATCATTACATAGCTGACATAAGGTTATCATAACATGGATGACATAAGGTTATCATTACATGGCTGACATAAGGTAATCATTACATGGCTGACATAAGGATATCATTACATAGCTGACATAAGGTAATCATTACATAGCTGACATAAGGTAATCATTACATGGCTGACATAAGGATATCATTACATAGCTGACATTAGGAAATCATTCATAGCTGACATAAGGTAATCATTACATGGCTGACATAAGGATATCATTACATAGCTGACATAAGGTAATCATTACATGGCTGACATACGGTAATCATTACATAGCTGACATAAGGTAATCATTACATGGCTGACATAAGGAAATCATTACATAGCTGACATAAGGTAATCATTACATGGCTGACATAAGGATATCATTACATAGCTGACATTAGGAAATCATACATAGCTGACATAAGGTAATCATTACATGGCTGACATAAGGATATCATTACATAGCTGACATAAGGTAATCATTACATGGCTGACATAAGGATATCATTACATAGCTGACATAAGGTAATCATTACATAGCTGACATAAGGTAATCATTACATGGCTGACATAAGGATATCATTACATAGCTGACATAAGGTAATCATTACATAGCTGACATAAGGTAATCATTACATGGCTGACATAAGGATATCATTACATAGCTGACATAAGGTAATCATTACATAGCTGACATAAGGTAATCATTACATGGCTGACATAAGGATATCATTACATAGCTGACATAAGGTAATCATTACATGGCTGACATAAGGTAATCATTACATGGCTGACATAAGGATATCATTACATAGCTGACATAAGGAAATCATTACATAGCTGACATAAGGTAATCATTACATGGCTGACATAAGGTTATCATTACATAGCTGACATAAGGTAATCATTACATGGCTGACATAAGGTAATCATTACATGGCTGACATAAGGAAATCATTACATAGCTGATATAACAAAATCTTTACAATGGCAAGCACATGGAAATCTTAACAATGGCAGGCATACATTATATACATAGAAGTAGGCATATACATTTATCAACATTGTACAATGGCAAGCATATGCGAATCTTCATAGTGGCAGGCATAATACATTCCTGACTATGGTATTTTCTTCATAATAGCCAACAGACTGAAATCCTTACAACAACCATGATGTGAATCTCTACAGATATCTGCCAAGTTTAATATAATTCTAATAGAAGCAAATATGAAAAAAGAATCTTTACACTGAAACAAATAATAAAAATATTACATGGGAGACAAAATAATATAGAGGGATTAATTGGTTTTAGAGTACTGCAGTAAGTATTTTGAAGAAATCATTGTTTAAAGTCATTGTGCAACATATTTATGTGGGGTTATGCCATCAGAAAATCATACAGTATGCTTGCATATATGTTTTTTGCCATGCTTTCAAAACAAGGGCCGTTTATACATTTGTTTAGTGATTTGGCTGGAGAGCGACTGAAGTTAAACCGGGAATTCTATGATGAGAGATGGTCCAAGCATAGAACAATCACCAGCTTGGACTGGTCGAAACAGGTTTGTACAGAAAGTCAATCTGATGATGTAATTATAGTTAACTGGTGACATGGCCAACCGGGGCCCAACCCCTTCCATATAGTGCCACCCCACTACACTGACATTTCATCCGATAACATCATTCTGATACCAGGCCCATCAGAGCTGTCCATAGATCAACATAAAACAAAAAATGCTGGATAGGACAGAAAAGAGGTATTGTATATCTGAAGTGTTGCAATACGGGAAGCAGGTCATGATAAGCTGTTTGTCATTTCAGTTTCCCCAATAATAAGACACCCCCAATAATAAGACGCCCCCCAATAATACCCCCCCCCCCCAATTTTTTTTTATTAAGACACTTAAGAAAATCCCAAGTTTTGCAGAGTGCTTTAGGAGTTGCCTCATACATCCACCATTACATGTCAAAATGTTATATCTTCTAGTTTTAATGTATTTCAGTGGTGTTAATGAATATGATAAATAAACTTCTAAAAATATATGTTGAGCTTTAATTGCCTTTTACTTTTATATACTTTGAATATTTCTTCAAGTAATGACACTACTATATAGCAAGGACAAATTCTGCATGAAATTTTTCATGCTGGTCCAATTTAAGATATGTACCTTGTTTGGTATCATATATTTTTATATCCAAAAGTAAGTTGGCCCCAAGGAATTTAATTTGAAAGAAAACATTTTGTAAAATTCGTCTATTCGATTCCAGCACCCAGAGTTACTTGTTGCCTCATACAATACGAACGAGGATGCACCCCATGACCCCGACGGAGTAGCACTTGTGTGGAATATCAAGTTCAAAAAACAGACACCAGAATATGTATTTCACTGCCAGGTAAGTAAAATATTAATGTGTAATCAATCCCACAAACAGACAACAACATTGAAATATTGTTCAAAGTGCTCAAAATGGGAATAGTGTTCTTTCCTTGTGACAATGATGGATAGTTTCATTTCAGAGTATTTCATTGTATAGTAACAATACAAAAGGCATTGGGCAACAGACAAAGTCTATAATAGCCTTCTCCTTGATGATGCTTAGTTACTTGTAGTCCTTTAACTTAACAGTTGATTATTATGTGTTTTACCTACAGTCAGCGGTGATGTCAAGCTGTTTCGCGGAATTCCACCCTAACCTGGTGGTGGGCGGTACCTACTCGGGACAGATTGTATTATGGGACAACCGAGTGAACAAGAGGACCCCTGTACAGAGAACTCCTCTGTCTGCTGCCGCTCATACAGTAGGTTTCTCTGATTACTTTTTAACTCCATATGTTAATTAAAAACAATTATTGAAAACAATCTAAGTCATGTACTTCAAATCGGAGAAATTATATCCAAAGTTTAAGTTTCTTTTATCAGTGCCACAAATACAAAATCAAAATTCAATATTTTCTCATTCTTGGTGAATTTATCTTGTTTTATTGTATATATATATATATGTGTAATATATCTTTAATATCAGGTTGATCTGTAAAATTTAAAACAATGTAAATTTTCCAGAATTAGAGAACCTACTTGATCATCTGTAAAGTACGCACATTAACTGATAAAGTTCATTATTGCAGCATCCGGTTTACTGTGTAAATGTAGTGGGAACCCAGAACGCCCACAACCTTATCAGTGTGTCTACCGACGGCAAGATGTGTTCCTGGAGTCTGGACATGTTGTCACAACCACAGGTAGGATCATTTAACAGATAGATATATGTAAGGATAAGGGTTGGTTTTTCCATGTAAATTTGCATAAAAGACTGATGGTAATATGTTAAAAGATTTTATCAGAATGTGAAGTTAAGAAACTTCTAATTTACTAACTTGGCTAAGATGTAACTATGTAAGTCAAAATGAATCAAGCATCATACTTGTATGGCCTCATCAACATAGCTTGATCAGTGGCCTGTACATAATTGCTCTGAGACATCAAAGCTTAAACTGTACATGTACCAGGTAGGCTGAAACTAAGTTAATGTAAATTTAGACTACTCTATTTGTCTTTATAACTTCTGTTTCCAGGACAGCATGGAACTCCAGCACAAGCAGAGTAAAGCGGTCGCTGTGACCTCATTTTCTTTCCTTGCCAATGACGTCAACAACTTTGTAGTGGGAAGTGAGGACTGTACTGTGTACACAGCCTGTCGGCATGGAAGGTAGATAACTTATCATCCGAAACATGTGAATTATGAATGCTTGGTGGGATGATATATATTTTTGCAATAATTCAATTGAGAATTCATTTGATGCACCATGTCAAAATAGTACAAAAAATAAAGTGATTTATTCCTGCTCGTGGATGTCACGGTTATCTCCCCTTTGTAGTACAACATAGATTATTATACATACCCAGTTATATATTTATAAATAGTTTGAAAGGTACAAATGTTTGATATTAATTTAGAATAGTTACTAATTGTTTATGTCATGGCTCTTTAAAGAGATGTGCTTGTTTATACCTGTATTATACCTGTATTATACCTGTATGATTACAGTAAGGCCGGTATCAGCGAGGCATTTGAGGGCCACCAGGGTCCAATTACAGGTATTAACTGTCACTCAGTGCCTGGGCAGATAGACTTCTCACCCTACTTCCTCACGTCCTCCTTTGATTGGACTATTAAACTGTGGAGTATAAAGGTAAGTAGTACCCGGGTGCAACTTCAATCAGTGATTGGAAATGTGTATCCTTGTAGAAGATTGCTACTGCTGTCATACTGTTCATGGAAATTATTTCATTAAACTTTGAATGAAGAAAAATTTTAATATTTTATAATTGTTATATTAAATCCTTTGAAATTAAATAGATGTGAAAAATCAGGTTAAGAAGGATTTAGAATTATTTCTTATTGCATTTAAAAGAAAGTTAATTAGAAACTTAAGGTTCTTTATAAAGTGCTTTATATATGATTCTTTGTCTTGTACACAGGACTCCAAGTTTATCCATTCATTTGAGGACAACAGTGACTATGTGTATGATGTACAATGGTCACCTGTCCATCCCGCACTGTTCGCCAGTGTGGACGGTATGGGACGTCTGGACTTGTGGCATCTCAATAATGATACTGAGGTATGTATAAAACTTATATTACACTGAAACTGAAATATGTTAAGATCCAGTCCTCAAACATAGTGGGTTTTTTAAAAGGAGAATCTGTAATAAAAAAATTAACATATAGACTGTATGTTAGCTGTCAATATGGAATTTACTAGAACACACCTTTATGTGACTAGGGCATTCACCTTTTGATGCAATATATTGAGGCCAACCTATAAATGGGCTTATACAGGTGCTGAAGGTCTTTGCTCTGTCGAACAAGAAAACAATAATTGACTATTTAATCTGTCCTTATATCTTAAACAAGAGTTCTTGTCCCTCTGATTAAACCAAATGTGATTGTCCATCAGTATCAGTCAGTTTCCACAGAAAGTCAAGACACAAAAGGAGGTACATGCATCCATATAAAAATATGACTGGTTTTAGGGTTCATTTTAGGGTTAATTTTCTGCATCATTTCAACAATTGTTTCAATCAGAATGTAGTCTTTCAGTTCTTTATAATATTATTATCTTGTACTTTCGAAACATCCCTTTAAAGGTAAGTTGGTTAAATCATACAATATTTTCCTGGTTTCTAGGTACCCACAGCCTCCGTTGTCATGGAGAATAACGTGGCATTGAATCGTTGTCGGTGGCACCAGACAGGTGCCCATATAGCCACCGGTGATGACCTGGGACATATATATATATATGATGTGGCAGAGGTTAGTACACAATTGTTGGGAATATCATTGACAATATTTATCATCTGCTTTCAGGATTTGTGTAAAACAAATTTGTTCTAAATCAACTTTTTGCTCACCTAGCATAAAATAATTCTTGTTAGCTAACGAAACTTTGTAGTATCTGTTATCTTATAACTTCTCCTTTGAACAGCATCTTTTTAAAAACTATAAGGCCCAAGGTCATAATATTTGGCCATTAGCTACCTTGGATGGAGCACTTTTAAGTGTCCTCAAAGAAATTGCTTTTACAAAAGTTCAAGGTCACAGATGTCAAATAAAGACATTTAAAACAAATACTGAGTTCTAAACTTGTGGTTCTCTAGTATATCATTAAGACAGCCAAGAACACCTCTCTTCTGTATTGTGTTGAGATCAAAGGTCAACTTTGAGAGCTAACAAGATAACCAGAAACATAGACTATTATTGGTTAAATTATAAAATGTTTTACCTTTTTCCATCTTCATATAACCTTGGCTGTTGTAAGGATGTAAAACCCTTGACCTGCTTTCAAGGTCACATGAATTTGATTTATTAAAGTCTTAACTTAACTTCGTCTGAATAAAGAAGAGGTCTAGGTCGTGATATTTAGCCTGAAGCATGAAGAGCTGTCAAGTACTATTTGTATGTCTATTTGGTTAACTCACTTTTCTCATATACCCTTTAATGCTGATCAAGGTAATTTATTTGAATAGACTTGATATGAATCATTTTTGGGACCAGGTAACCAAGTTTTATGATGAATGTTTAAGTTTTTGTTTTTATTTCACAAGTTCTTCATTCTCTTTTATTCAGACCATTGCGACACCAAAACATGATGAATGGTCACGATTTGCACACTCGCTACACGAACTAAAACAACACGCTGCTGAGAGAGAGGAGGAGTCTTCCCTAGCAACCATGACATCACCTTTACGATGATTGATCCATCTGCTTACAGTCTTTGAACTTTGACCCTAACCCTCTGTGTGTCATGTGACCTGAAGGACAGAGTATTCTTTAGCTTGTTTGGTTGTTGGTGCTTAAATTTACAAAACAAGTTTAATGGGAGTAGGAACTGTCCACATTGCTTACACTGAAGAATGGTGAAAAACTTAATTTGCTTTGAAGAAAATGTGGACTCAACTCATTTCCACATTTGCAAGAACAAAGAAGGAAACATTCAGATATAGGTATTGTTTTGGGACAAACAGTAGTAAAACCTGGTCAGAGGAATAAATATTTATACTGAATATGTATATATTAATAAAATCCATGAAAGTGCAATGCTTATATAATTACACGAGATTTGGTCAGGATACCTTATATGGGGTTGTTTTTTCTTCTCTACATTTAACGAGATTGTCAGAAGGCTTTTCATAAATGATGTGCATGTCTGGCTTGATCAGAATAGGAAGGGTGAGTGTGGGTGAATGATTGGTCAGAACCCCAAGTGGAAGGGATGATTGAACAATGAGTAGTAGAGCATGTATCTGGACGGGACTTATGTAAGTGTAAGTTCAGAGTGGAAGTGATGGTTGTATCAGATAACCTAAATGTAACGGAGTAGTATTATCTTCAGGTGTCTATTCAGAATAATAACAAAGACACTTATGGAGGGGGTGGGGGGTG